GCTCAGGCGCTGGCCTTCCCTTCCCCATCCCGGAGGAAACCCCAGCTGGCCTTCTGATCCGTACGAATCAGTTCCAGTCTGGTTTGCTCTGATCTCTGAAGTCACTCTGCCCTTCACCAGCCATGGGATGCGGACGCCTGACCCTGAGGGGGCTCCTGAAGCTCCGTCACCTCAGCCTCAGACCTCGGGTTTCATCCCAGACCTAATGAAGGAGAAGTGGAAGGAAATCTTCCAGAGGGTTCTAATGCTTGCTCCCTAGCATTCGAAGTTGATGGCTCGACATCAGTCTCATGATATAGCATGTCCTCATTTTTTAAAAAATGTCCCCAAATCTGCCAAGTGCAAAACACCAGTGTGTTCCCTCCTGGTTTGGGTGAAAGGTCGCCTCCCTGCAGTGTCTCGCTCACTAGCTTGCTCTCCCTGTCCCTCTCTCCCTCTCCCTCCACCTCCCACGGCCCCACCCTGTCACACAGAACTTTGCTGAGTCCTTTTCTGAACTACGTCGTAGTTTATTTCTGCTCTTCATCCCTTCCTCTGAGGCGTTCCCTGGTACCGCCACCCCTGCCATTGCTGTTTGTGCTGGTTGCTGCTGGTTCATCTGACCACTCGTTGACCCTCATCTCCCTCACACGGAGGCCATGGCGTACGAGCTGCCCGGTTAGCTGTGTAAAGGGCAGACGAGCATCCTACCTGCCGTCCTATCACTCGGCCCCCATGAAGCTCCTAACTCTAAAAATCTTAGTTTAAATTCGAAATAAAAATTCGTATTGGGATTACTAGCAGAATTTCGAAAACTATCCCTTTCCTTTTGCAAATAGTTCTTTAACTTTCTTGAGGTTTAAGAGGAAAAAAATAAAACAGAATTTCAAAAAATTTCCCTCCAAGTGGCTTTGTATTTCCCCCACCAGTGCCTGTCCACAGATGTGAGAGATCGAAAGGCTGAGAGCTGTGCTGCTGTGGGTAGGCTGCTTGCCCGGCACTCAGCTGACTTGGGTTTTGGTCCCTGAACACCATATGACTTTCCAACCCTTTCCCAAACTCATCTCTTAGCACAGGGCCAGGAGTATTTCCTGAGCACCACTGTGTATTAACACCACCCCCCAAAAAAGAGGTGAAAAACACTGGTTTGAAATGTTCCAGTATGCGGATGCTATTGTTGCATTTTCCTTAGGAGTCCCTAATGTTTTGTGGCTTTTGAGATAGAATTACCAGGACTTAGGGCAGAGAGAGTAGAGGTTATCGAATACAACTTGTGGGGTGACCCCCCCTGAAGTAAGGAGACAGAGGACGGTGGGTTTGGGGCTGTTGGAGAAGGGGAAGGAGACTGAGTTGACGGGCAGCTTAGAAGGGATACTGGAGGAATTTTAAGAACTGTGGCCCAGGAAAAGAAGTTTGTAGTGAGGAGGCTTTGGTTGTGTCTTGCACCTGCTTTTTTCTTTTTTGGGAGGCCCTGGGGCCACTCCCAGCCAAGGCCTGAGGCTGTGGTGCTGTGAGCTGGTGGTGCTTCTGGGTCCTGTGTGGTACTCAGGATAGCCCTATGATCAGACATTTGGAAGATGTCCCGTGCTAACCCGCCCAGCCCATCCTAGCTGGTCCAGCTACCTCTTTCCTGGGAGCTCCCGTCGCCTGTCCCCAGTGTGCTCACACCCCACGGCAGGGCACCAGTCTCACCTCAGAGCCCCCACCGCAGTTCTCAGAAAAACCCAATTTATGCACCTGGGTGCCGCCTTGCAGTGCCCTCAGTGAGAGACAGCGTTGGCGTGGGGCCCTGCGGGCCAAGTGTGCAGATCTGAACTGCTAGGAAGATTCCCGTTTGCCTGACTACGAGGCTGCATGTCTGTGAGTGTGTCTCCCAGCATGGCCCTGGGCACATGCGGCCTCATGGATTGCAGCGGACCCTCCATGTATCCACCAGTGTCCACTCGTTGAAGAGACTCCGGTCTGCCCCTGAAGATAGATAGGTGTGCTCGCGGGTAACAGCCCTGAAGTTGACATCAGGCTGCTAGGTGAAAGTTGATCTTTGTACTAATCATATAAATAAGACACCATTTCCACTTGCAAGAGTGAAGGCTTCTGTGCGTTGTAAGAAAGTTGACCATGTTTGGGGAACTGAGGTCCCCTATTTAATGCAGAACCAGCCCTGGTTATATAATAGGTGCATTATAGGCCAGAAAGGAAAAATGGATTGTGAAAAGCAGATTTACCAGTGGCAGTCGTCTGATTGTGACCACACTGATTGTGAAGTCAGCATGGCCTCGTGTCATTATTAGGCTTGGACTAAAGTCACAAGGTCCAAGGCCTGGGTGGCCCAAATGGCAGAGCAGGTGCCTTGGTCATTGGTCATGCTACGTGGACATGTGAAGAAGTCTTGGCCCCTACCCAGCTCTGGACTCCTGAACGCTGCTCTCCTGCCCCTGGGAAAGAGCACAAGGTATCTTACCAGTTCCCAATTTCCCTTCCTCCTTTTCCATCTTTCCCCTTTCCTCACTGAAGACGTTTCCCTGCCCCTGCTCATTTTCAGCAGCATTAAAAACTTCTTTGGCTCGGCTAAACCCTATGGATAGAGACTGAGCTGAGGAGGGTATCGATTTCCAAATATGGTCCTGCTGCTGAAGACGGTAGAGGAATGTGGCTTGTATTCTAAGCCTCAAATACGCTGCCAAACAAATTAGGTCATTTCAACTTCTTAGCCTTTTTTTTTTAAATAAGGAGCTGGAGCTTTGGTTTGTAATGTGATGGTGGTGGTGTTTCCCCTGCAGCACGAGAAGGGAGCAGGGCTGGAGAGGGCCAGGGTGTCCATGGGAGCTGAGGTCCCCTCCTGCCCACAGAACCAGCCCCGGTTAAGTGATCGCTCAGCAGACACACCTGTGATCCCCAGGTGCGCCGCCTCACTCATTGCCTACAGTGTGGACAGAGTGTCTAGGATGCTCTTGGTCTTCAGGGTCCTGGCCGTGGTGGCCACGGTCTCGCAGGGTTGGCCTAGGGTCCGGACTGGGGGTGCAGAGGCGTCCCCCAGCAGCGCTGGCGCCTGCCCACTCTCACCGCTGCCCTTTCGGGCCATATTTGGATGTTCTGCTGCTGCTCTGATACTGGCTTTGATAGAGCAAAACGTTCTTAAGTGGAAGCGGGTGGAAGCAGAGACTGCGGCGGAATGCTGCTTTGTTCTTTGTCCTCCTGTACGATTTGTTGGCAAGAGAGTATGGAGCCTTTTTCGAATTAAAACCAAAACCCACGCCCGTGAGAGGCGGCGTTCCTTTTCAGCATTGCCTACGACCAGCATCACTCGCCCCAACTCCCCTTGCAGTTTCTTTCTGTTTTGCGGGGCTCTGAGTCGGTTCCTTTTCTTCAGGAGCACACCCCGCCTCTCCCCCCAGTCTGCCATCTTCGGTTGGTTTTTTCTCGAGAACGGATAAACCACACTCAGAACAAATTCTGCCTCGAGGGACAGGTGTGTGTGGGCTCCGTCGCTTTTGTGCAGCCCTCCACAGCACCCCTCTCTCTGCCCTGCCCGTGTAGTCTCAGGGCCCCCCGGGCCTTTGCTGCGGTTCCTCCTGGTCTCTGAGGCCGGAGGCGTCTCTCTCCTTTATTGGGAGAACAGTCTTGGTTTTCAAGGTGGTTTTTGAAGACACGAAGGAGGCTGTGAGCCCCAGAGTCCTCCTTTACATATGCCCCGAATAAAGCGTCTCCGTCCTGAGGGTACTCACTGGAGAACACCCCTCCCCTTTCCAGAACATGATAGAGGCAGACATGGGCCCTGGGGGTTGTTTCGCAGCCATGTGTGCAGTGGACTGAGAATCCGTAGCTTCGGACAAGGCATCAGTTCTTTATTGGGCTTCGAGTAGAGGCCTTCTTGAATGGGAGGCTCGGAGTGTAGGCCTTTCTGGCCTAAACCTTGTGTCTTCCTGTGTTTGATCTGGTTCATGAATGATGTTGTACAGGTTGCCGTAGCAGTCAAGAAGAACTGGGATTACTCTCAAGTTTAAACTTAGCTCTCTCCCCGTGCACTAATGAGCCACCATGAAAATCTCCATACGCTGAGAATTCATGTAAATGTGTCCTCTGTGGAGTTAAATAGAGCTTATTGAAGTCTCCTTGTTTTGTTGGGAGTAGAACCATACCCCGTGGTGCTTGGGGAAGCCAGTGGTGCCCAGGATCCAGACAGGGCCTACTTACATGCAAAGTATGTGCCTCAGCCTTTTAAACCATCTCCCTGACCCCTGACATTTCAGACTGTCTGATTCCTGCTCCGTCTTTTAGTCCCTGTAGCTGATCTCAGGAAATTTCCCCAGTTAACCCCGTGTGTGTAGGGGCGAGGGTTCATGTTCTGTGGGTGAGAACGCTCAAGCCTGGTTTTAGTCCGTGTCAGACTCCTCGTCCAAGCCTTGGCCACTTGGTTGGCCCCGTCGTTTGCAGGCCCTCACAGTGCAGGGTTAACTAAGGCCTCTGTCCTGTTGGTCTCCTTTGGTCGAAGTGTTTGACTATGCTAGAAATAAGCTAGACCACACTTAGACTCAAGCCTGAGGGGATTTGTTATGAAGAGAACTCTTTTGGAAAATCATGAACCACCATCTGTTAATAAAGTAAGCAGCGCCTCTCTGGATTTCTGGTCAGGCAGCGTTAGGTGCTGCCCCAGGCTCTGGGTGATCGGTCACGGTCCTCCCGTTGTTCATCCGTTTGCTTGAGTGGGCCCAGTAACGTCTCCATTGGAGACTTTGTTGTTACTGTGTCTGGCATATCGAATACTCTCGGTAGCTTGCCGGGCTCTCCGAGAGGGGCGGAGGAATCGAACTCGGGTCGGCCATGTTGGCTGTGTGCAAGGCAGACGCCCTACCCACTGTGCTATCGCTCCAGCCCCAGGCTCTGGGTAAGTAGTTATAATGTGAGTGCATGCTGACCTTTTTCTCTGACAGCCAGGGTTAATCATATATGTGTTCTTGTCACCATTCCTGTTTGATGCTCAGGAAATGAAAACATCTTTCATTTGTTCTTTATCTCCAAAGGGCATCCGTTTTGATCCTGAAATTCCACAAACACTGCGACTAGAGTTTGCTAAGGCGAACACGAAGATGGCCAAGAACAAACTAGTAGGGACACCAAACCCCAGTACTCCTCTGCCTAACACTGTACCTCAGTTCATTGCCAGAGAGCCATGTAAGTTGATCTGCTTTTCATTTCGGAAAGAAAAAAGTAAGAAATATTATTTGTCTGCTGTGTGTGAGCTGATGCTGTAGACAGGCCGTCGTTTCCGTCTCTTCTCACTGTCTCCAGCCCAAAGGCAGCAATCTTGCTTGCGATTGGCTGTCCCAAAGTATGGTCCAGCCTCCTCAGGCCCTCATCTCCAGGATTGCGGTCAATTTCCGTTGAGTGGTCTTGACCTCCTCCTGAGCTATGTATGGCCTGTTTGCCCCAGGGCATAAATGCTTAAGTTCACCCACCATTGGACTAAGAAGTGGGTCTTCATCTTGCCCTCACTCCACTTCCTAATCACCAGTTCTGTGGCATTGGAAGACTAGAACATTAAAAGTGAAGCAAATTCTTAAGCAATCAGTTCTATTTTTGAAAACAACTTCACCATGAATCTGGGGGGGTGGGGGGTAAACAAAAGTTTCTAAATAATAGAATAGCGAGCCAACGAATACCAGCTAAGCTTTATAGAAATTTGGGTCTTCCTGCTTTAAAGTAATTGGAGCAGGACACTAGTGACCGATTGCTGCCTTTGACCCCCACCTAATGAGCTTCTTACCTCGTTTGTCAAGCTCCAGGTTCTCCTTTGGGTGGAAAGGTGCCTTGGTTTCTCTCTTTGCTCAGTCGAGGGGGGTGCAGGGAGTAGCCTGCTCATTTCCTGGCCCCACCAGCCACAGGTGGTTTGCGGAGCAGGCCACTCAGTCCATCCTAAGTGAGCTGCTATTGTGTGGAATAAATTTCTCTCCTGTTGTTCCTGACTTTGTTTCCGAATCACATGAACTTCCTGCTTTTCCTGACAATCAGCTGGTCTTAGTGAAAGCCGCCCAGGTTCCTTCCTCAAGCCATTTCATGGGTGAATCAGACTGAGTCAGGATCTTACGGAAGTTAAAGTCATTTGTTTGCTCCGAATGGTGTCTGTCAGTGAAAACTAGTAATGCAGAGCTTCTGGGGCCACGGAGTTAGCACAGGGGTTAAGGCTTGCCTTGCTTTGATCCTTGGCATTGCCTGAGCACTGAGCCAGGAGTGGCCCCTGAGTTTCACCTCTGCAGCCCATTCTATTTCCCTGCCCTCTGCAGAGGAACCCACCAGCCTGGGTTCCAAAGTAAATTTTTCTATGAAGCCAAAATTATTATAAATTTTGAGGGGAAGATATGCTTTGTTCTTCCATGTCCTGGGAACATTTGTTTATTTGGGAAAGAAATCTAAACAGAACTTCCGTCTTGTGGTACAGCTGACCCTAGGGTAGTTTCTTACACTGTCTCCGCGCCCTGCATGTCCCACATTCGCTCACTGCCACAGTGACGCACGGCTGAATGAACACTGGAATCTGGCTCTCTGCATGCCGAGTCGCTCCACTGGGTCCGACTTCATTTTTCTTTGGAAACGTCTCCTCTTGACCCAGGCATCAGAAAAGAGTATTTGTAAAGATAAAAACCTCAAGGAACGCCTTACTTTTCTCATGCGCTTGCCTGCATGCATCCCTCAGTGTTTTGGATAGATGAGCTCAACTGGGAAGTAGCTTGCTGGGATCTTACATGGGTTTTTTGTTGTTGTAGTGTCTTTTTTTTCCCTCCCTTCCTTTCCCTACTTTGAATTCAACATTCATGAACAAACTGGGCATCCTGACGACCAGGAGAGCAGAACGTCGAGTACTGGCCGGGCCTGCTTGGCCGCCTCCCTTTCCTGTGCCCACAGCAGCTCAGATAGTTTCCATGAGAGCCTCAAGAGTTGCCTCGCTGCTCATGGCAAAACAAACGAATTTAAAAAAAAAATCCAAACAGCCTTGTATCCTTGGGAAAAGAAAGCTTAGTGTGTGTTTCTTAATATAGCCCTGCTTACGGCACAGGGGCCGTGGGGCGCAGTAACACTGTGACTCAGATGAAGGTTACCGGCCACTGTCGTTCCTCAGGGAATCTCGAGTGTCCCTGCTGGTGGCACCCGGCATGGCACATTGGGAGTGCCCACTGGCCCATCCCACTTCCTCGTTCCCATAGTTGACACCTGCCAGGGTTAGACTCACTCCTGGTGAGAAGCAGACTGAAGAAGAATTTGGAAGCAGGAAAGGCCCAGTCGGCATCTGCTGCAGCACCGCAGGCAGGATTTTCACACGTGCTTTGTTGTTGACATTTTTATATGGCACTGGCTGAGAAGTTCTATTGCTGATACTGTAGAAAGTGTCTGCGATGCTTGAATTCTACGGCAGTTTTGTAGTAATTCTTATTTCTTAAGGGTTTGTTGAGCTTCAGTGAGTATCCCATGTCTGCCAGACACTGGGAAGAAAGGCCCTTGGTTCTGCCTTTAAATAACAGTTCTCAGTCCCCAGAGGTTGGCAGTGGTCATGCTGGGCAGGCATCTTGAGCCCACAGAAATGCTGTCAACGGGATTTTCCTGCAGCTGTAGGTTGCCCCTGATCCAACTGCATGCCTGACCTAATGCCCTGTCCTCACGTACCAAGACCAAGAGTGAGAAACCCAGAGAGTACCGTTCGCCCGAGTGCTTAGGGGGGTCCTCCGTGGAGAATCTTAGCCCTTGACTTGAGAATGTCAGCAAGTGTTCTTGTTCCTCCAGTCATTATCAAGCTTTGACCTTAAAAAAAATAATAACCTTGTTTCGCTCCTGTCCTTTCAACTGTAAAGTGGGAATTATACTTTCTTCAGTGACTATCATGTGTTATGTGAAAAGGCCATAATTGGATTGTGTTGCGGATTAGATAGATATGGTGTGGGGGGGGGCATTGTCTCAGTTTTCAAAGGGCAGGAAACAGGGAGTCCAGGAGAATGGGCACTTGCCTGGTGTGGGGCTAAAACCAGTTGGATTCTTGGCACCGCGTTAACCATCAGAGTCACTCCAGAACGCACAGCCAGTGTAGACCAGGGGAGTGTCAACTAATACGAACTTTAGTTTAAAATAAGCTCTGGAGGCCAGAGAAATGTTACAGTGGATATTAGTAGCCTTATATGTGACCAATTCAGATTTATTCCCCACACCCTATATGATCCCCGAACGCTTCTAGGAGCTATCCCTGAATGCAGATCCAGGAGTAAGCTCTGAGTGCTTCTGGGTACTACCCCCAATGAAAACCCTAAGTAAAACAAACTGGGGGCTGGAGAGGTACCATCACCATCATCATCACCATCCTCTCGTTGTTCATCGATTGGCTCGAGCGGGCCCATACATGGTGGAGATTAAGTGCTTGTCTTGCCTGCAGTTGACCCCATTCTATCCCTGGGACCATTTATGGGCCCCTGAGAACTGCTCCCTGAGCACCACTGGGTTTGACATCCCCACCCTGCCTCACGCATAGCCTTTACTTTTCTAAATAGACGAGAGTACATATATTGAGGCGCTCATGTGACCTCTGCACTTGTGAAGCCCCTTGTTATGCTCCCAAGCTCTGCCCCCCCACCTCCCCCCCAAAGGAGGTATTCATCTTCCTACCCATCAGCTCGGACTGTCAGAGCAAATTAGAAGAGAAATGAAAGTCATGTAGGAGGCCCAAGAAGACGAACTTCCCAAGTTCCCTGGGAATGATGTGAGCTGCTTCTCTTTTTCCTCTTTATGTAGTAACAGGTGAGAAACTTGAAATACAGAAGCTCCTTTTATGTTTCACATCTGGTTGTATAAGCAAGTAGTCTTTTGGGTGAGAAGTGCAGTTTGGAGGTGAAAATGGGCCAGGTACACCATCTTTGAGTTTGACTTTCCATCAGTAAGGGGCCGATCATGGGTTCCCCGTATTTGCAAGGCATTTGCAATAAATTCTCTCCTCTGTGTGTCGGTAATGCTGTCTTACAGTTGAAGGTCTAGAAGGCCTCGAAGTTCCGGAAGGTTTCTTGGCTCTCACTCCCGCGGCTGAATTGTGTTCCTTTGTAGGTTCACGTCCCCAGCCCGAGTGCCTCTAAATGTGACCATGTTAGGAGATGAAATTCATGAGAGAGATGATTAGATTAAAAGGAGACTAATCCGGTGGCCTGGATCCAGTATGACTGGTCCTCAGAGAAAGAAAAACATGCCAGGGATGTACTTGGAACAGAGATCAGGCCTTGTGCAGACTTGGTCTGAAGGCTGCCACCTGCGGTCTCAGGAGAAGACAGACCCGCTGGCAACTGGGATCTGCAGCCTCTGGAGCTGATAGGAAGTGCGTGACCGTTGTTCGCCTTTTTGCTGCTATGGTCCCCCTCCGATCCCGTTTCTTCCCAGGGGTCCCCATTCTCATCGCTGGCCCCCGAATCTGATACTGTGGCTCCCTGTTGATGTGGTTGTCACCCGTGGCCCCAAGTCTGTCCCTGACACCATTTATGACCCCCTGAGAACTAGCCCATGAGTGCTGTAGCCCAGGAGACCTGTGGTCTCCCGCGAGCCCCCCCGCTGAGAAGTGCTGACTTAACACACCTGCAGTGGGGTGTGATTAAGAGCAGCCTGAACAGATTTAATCCATCTGATGTGAGGGACTTAAAGTCACTTCCAGGGGCTGGAGCCATAGCACAGCAGGAAGGGCGTTTACCTTGCACGCGGCCGACCCAGGATCTATTCCCAGCATTCCATATGGTCCCCCCAAGCGCCGCCAGGAGTAATTGCTGAGTGAAGAGCCAGGAGTAACCCCTGTGCATCGCCGGGTGTGACCTAAAAAGTGAAACAACAGCAACAACAAAATAAAGTCACTTTGATTCGTGGGGGCATAGCACCAGTACAGTTGGGTAAGGCCTTTGCCTTGCAGATGGCTGATTCAGGTTCAGGACTGGCACCACACGTGGTCTCTAAGCACAACTAGGAATCCAGGAGTGATCCCTCAGCACAGAACCAGGAGTAAACCCCGAACACTGTTGGGTCTGGGCCCAAGACTCCCACACCCGCCACGCTCCCCCCCACCCCCCCACCCCCCACCCCATGAAAAAATTTCACTTCCATTTACAACTCTCCCCTGTAGCTGAGTCTCCTCACCTGTATAAAGGCAATAATATGGTCCCGGC